TGGAAGATTTATTTTGATGGTTCTTCTTGCAAAGAAGGTCAAGGCATAGGGGTAGTTTTGTTTTCACCTAATGGCATGTTTTATGAAGCATCGGTTCGTTTGGAATATTATTGTACAAATAATCAAGCCGAATATAATGCTTTGTTATTCGGCTTACAAGTCATGGAGATGGCTGAAGCTAAGTACGTGGAAGCTTTTGGTGATTCGGAATTGGTGGTGCAACAAGTCGCCGGAGTCTACAAATGCTTGGACAGATCACTAAATAGGTACCTCGATTCATGTTTGGATATTATTGCCAATTTTGATAATTTTGCTATTAAACATATTGCTAGGCGTGATAACTCTAGAGCAAATGACTTGGCACAAAAAGCATCTGGCTATAATATGAAGAAGGGATTATTTCTGATATTAGAGGAGCTGGTGCTTGCTTTTAAATCTTTGTGCGAAATTGGCAAAACTGAGGACCAGGGGCGGTCTGACCGGCATTGCGTGGCCAGTCTAACCGGTGACCAGGGGCGGTCTGACCGGCCCATGCCGCCGGTCTAACCGGCGACCCCGAGCGGTCTGACCGGCCCTGTGTGGTCGGTTTGACTGGTTCTGGGTAGAGTGCTGGGGGGCACGTTTCAATCAATTTAGAGGCCGAATTAATTGTGAATTCAGACATTTGTGCCCAGGAAGCAGAAGAAGATTGGAGAATTCCTTTGATTCGATATTTGAAAGATCCCACACTTAAGGTTGATCGGAAAATTCGGTGGCAAGCATTTAAATACATATTGCTTGTTAAAGATTTATATCGCCGAAATATAGATGGTGTCTTGGTGAAGTGCTTAGATGAAGATCAATCTAAAGTGGCAATGGAGAGGTGCATGAAGGAATTTGTTGAACTCATCAATCGGCCCATAAGATGAATTCGTTGCTTAGAAGAGCGGGATTCTATTGGCCGTGGATGATTGATGATTGCTTCAAATATTATAGAGGATGTGAAGCTTGTCAACGGTTTGGCAATGTTCAATTGGCGCCCGCCGCCGTGTTGAGTCCTATAATCAAACCATGGCCGTTCCGAGGTTGGGCTTTGGATTTCATTGGTCAAATTTATCCTTCGTCGTCAAAGGGGCATAGGTTCGTGCTAGTTGCTACGGATTACTTCACCAAGTGGGCCGAAGCCGTGCCTTTGAAGAATATGACTCATACGGAGGTAATTGACTTTATTTTGAAGCATATTATCCATAGATTTGGTATTCCACAAACATTAACTACGGATCAAGGTGCTTCTTTTATGTCTAAGGAAGTGAAGAGTTTTACCGAATCTTATGGTATTAAATTGTTAAGTTCTTCTCCTTACTACGCTCAGGCTAATGGACAAGCCGAGCCGAGTAATAAGACATTGTTGAAGTTAGTAAAAAAGAAGATTGAGGAACACCCAAAGAGGTGGCATGAGGTGCTTTCTGAAGCATTGTGGGCGCATAGGATATCTAAACATGGTGCCACTAAAGTTACTCCTTTTGAGTTAGTTTATGGTCAAGAAGCCGTTTTACCGGTAGAGGTAAATCTTGGTTCTCTTCGTTGTGTCAAGCAAGATGATTTGTCAAGTGAAGATTACAAGACGTTGATGGGAGATAATCTTGATGAAGTCATCGACAAGCGTTTGAAGGCATTGGAAGAAATAGAGAAAGAGAAGAAGAGGGTGGCCAAGGCGTACAACAAAAGGGTGAAAGCAAAGTTGTTTCAAGTTGGAGACTTGGTTTGGAAGACGATTTTGCCTTTGGGAACTCGAGTGTGCGGCATTGTTCGAGGGAACGCATACTTTTTAGAGACACTTCAAGGGGAGTGTTTTCAGCGAGCAATTGATGGGAAATACTTGAAGAAATACTTCCCGAGCGTTTGGCAAGACGCTTAGGAGGTGCTATGGCCGGTAATTGGATTATCGTCCTAAGACCAAAACATGTTCTATACTTTTAGATTCACGTTGTTCATCAAAAAGGCATGGGGGGCATGTGTTTACACCCAAATTTGGCACCCAGGATTAAAATAGGAAAGATTGCCAAAATTTGGAAGTCTACCGGTTTCCTCTGAGTGGGCCGGTCTGACCGCCGTGTGTTGGGCGGTCAGACCACCGGTTGAGGGCCGGTCAGACCGGCGGTATGAGGCCGGTTTGACCGGCAGGTCCGAGTCCGACTGTGTTTCGTCGGGTCTCGAGGTTTCCTTGCTCGGGAAAGCATGTTTCGGGTTTCCTTTAGTTTCTACCCCGAGTTGAACGTAGAGGAGGGCCTGTAGAGGGCAAGACCAACCCCTATATAAGGGACATGGCCGGTTCATTGTAAAAAACCAATCTACAATCAATCAATCGAATCGTTTTTCATATTGCTTTTAGTTTTCTCTTAGTTTGTCCATCTTTGTCGGTTTGCGCCGTAAACCGTCCGCCACCGCTGCGAGAGTGCGACATCTCTTTGTAGGTTTGTCCTGAAAACCTTCCGTTTTGCCCACGAGACGGGTAGTTATCAAATCGTCTCCGCTAGCCGGTTTAGTTATCAAAACCCATATAGGTTTAGCTCTTTGCTAGATCGAGATGGTTGGCGACTTTAGAATCACCGCAAGGCTTAAGGTGCTGCGATCGTGCTTGTCAACTTGTCAAAAAAGTTACCAACTGCTATACCAAAGAATCAAATGTGTGGAACGTATGGTTAAAATAGAGTGAAACATTCGAATACACTAAGTTGCAACAAGGATCAACATCAGGCTGCAAAAACATGAAAAGCTAAAGAAAAAAGCCTACTTCCTGCCTTCTTCCTCTACTCTGACCCCGAATAAACATCCCCGCTCTTCTCCGCTCGCTAGATCTGAGCAATCCATGCTCCCGTCTGCCAGAAAAGATGGGGAGTACACTCATAGAGGCGACAACCATCGAGCTTCGGTATATGTTTTGTTCGCACGGCAACCGTCCTCGTCGGTGGGCCGTCACGCTCTTCAACGAGCAAGAGGCCGACCTGTAGGCGGCAACCTGATGAGGACCTCGCTAAGATGGAGTAAACGTGCAGGGGCATGGGCCCTCGTCGGTGGCGGCAAGCGTAGTGTATGTGCCCCGACGCGTACTCCATCTAGCTCCTCCTCCTGCCGTCTCGTAGCATCTACGTTTGAGCAGCAATCATGAGAGAGGTGGTGCCGTGGTGGTAGTTGAAGCAAAGAGAAAAGGAGAATGCGAGAGAGCTAGAGGAGAGATGAGTTATTAGCTGGATGGATAAGTTTGGATGGATGGATGTCGATACCTTTTAGTGTTGACTACGTGGACGTGGTAGGATGGAAGCGCCCATATTTTTCATTCCGTCAGACGGCAGATGCAAAGCACTTTCGAAATCGATGCCATGTCCTAGTTCTACTTAATAACTTGGTCAACGCTCGTATCCAAATGGGATAGGTAGAGAGAAGCAAGTAATATAAAAAATAATTGTCTAGAGAAGTATGTAGACAACTTAGTAGTAACTATTATACTTAACATCTCTTGGTTGTCTCTCAATGACATTTATATTTCTATAGCCATTAATTGACTATATTATTGAACTTGCTCTTAGTATATATTGATTCTCGAATATTTGACTGTATATTGTGTAGCAATTGTTTTTGCTATTATCTATATGTTGTTAAATTCTTTATTGCATTTAAGTTGTTATGAAAAGACGTTATGGAAGGAACGGAACATATTTATATCCTTATAGTTCCGAGATACTTTGCTACTAAAAGTTAGAGCAAATATACGTGATAATTGTGAACTGAGCATGGCTTAATAAGTTAGGGTGTTGTTATGAAAACTATCCACTCCAAACTCAAAGCGGTGCTTATATTTTTCTCAAGATAAATGTTAAGAAATAATAAATGTATGGTAAAATATAAACCGATAGCACTCTCAGGTTAGTCTTAACCAGAGAAACATATAGGTTAGAGTACTGTAAGTTGCTACTAGTACACACTACACCATGACCTGATATTCATGGCACTTAACTGCCGGCAATAAAATGAAGTTAGTGGCGAACTATTTGCCGGAAATATATCAAGTGCCGGAAATAATCTTGGACATTATCTCATTTGCCGAGAATTAAAAAAATAGAGCAGCAAATTAAGTGCCGGCAATGAATTAATATAACATGTCAATTGATCTGCCATAGATAATTTAAGACAACACATAATCTGCCGGGAATTTTGTTACCGGGAAAACAAATTTCTAGTTAACTTTTTGAGGAAATTTTGGCGGGCTAAAAATATTATTGGGCCGAGCAAGGCGCCAAGGTGCGAAAACTTTCATGGGCCAAACCTGATTCCACTCCCATCTGCGTACCCTATTCCTCATCTGTGCCGCACTCCTACTCCACACTCGATTCCTCATCTGCGCTGCTGACACTAGATTATCAACAAACATCTATCGGTAAAGATTAACAATTATTGATAGACTATTTGTTGGTAAAGGCTTTTGGCAAATTATGTGTTGGCAATGCTATGTAATAAGACATGTTATATGTCAGCAAATTTAAATATTTTTTGATCAAAATATCTGTCAGCAATATTATGAGCAGAAACCAATTATATGTCGTGAATTCTGGGAGTGTTTGAGAGGAGAGGAAAAGAGACGATTGAGAAGATACGCAAAATGAGGTGAGCCATTAGCGCATGATTAATTAAGTATTAACTATTTTGAATTTCAAAAATGGATTAATATGATTTTTTAAAACAATTTTCCTATAGAAATTTTTTACGAAAAATACACCGTTTAATAGTTTGAAAAGCGTACGCGCGGAAAACGAGTTTCAATCTCCCCTATCTCCATTGAACTCCGTCAGATCTTGATCCCATGGTTAAGATAGAGTGAGGTGTAGCCTCGGGCGGCAAATTAATTTAGGGGCGCAAGAAAATAATAAAAAAAAGAATCGCCCAAATTTTTTCCACGCCAAAAAAAAAAATCCACGCCAAAAAGAAAATCGACGCCAAAAAAACCCTAGGCGCCGCCACCTCGTGCCCCCTTCCACCGCGCGCGCCTTTGTCGCCATCCACCGCCCGCGCCGCCGCCTCCTCCGCCAAATCCACCGCGTGCGCCCCCCGCCACCGCGCACCACCTCCTCCGCCAAATCCAGCGCCCCCCGCCTGCTCGCTCCTCTCCCACCACGCGCCGCCTCCACCACGCAGCCCCCTCCGCCTCACCCACACCGCCGCACGCCGCCGTCGACTCCATCGGCCAGCCGCCGCTACTCCCTAACTCCGACTCCACTCAAACCCTCCCCTCCTCCCCACCTCTGACTCGACCTGCACGCTGGCTTCCGCTATCGGCTCCTCCGCCCAACGCCTTCCCATTGCCGCAGTTGACTCCACCCTCTTCCCCACCTCCTCCGCCGCCTCCCCATCGCCTCCACCTCTGGTGCCTGCCTCCACCTCATCTTCCGACATCAAGGAAGTCCCCTTGTTCAGGTAAAAATCAAATCTCTTGGTTATATGTGTTTTTCTTTTTACAACCTTGCCTATAAGCTGTATGTTTGCCCTGTGATTTACTTAATTTGTCCGCATATTGGTGCTTGCATGATGGATTTGGAGGGTAACTTGCAGCCATTAGTTGCTTAGAATTCGAGGGTAACTGATTGACCAGCTTGCTTGTTCTGTACTTTAACGAATTTTGCACCGATTGCAATCAGAATTTGTTTCGGGTGTTAGAATTGAGAGAATGACAAGGGAGGTAGCCATGAATCTTAGATCAACGAGGTAACCATGGTGTTGTTTGAGCTTATGAACAGTAATCCCTTAGCACTGCATGTTTTTTACCTGACATATTTCATACTTGTTGCCTGGTTAGCCTGTGATTTACCTGAATTAGTCTGCATGTAAGTACACTGCACCAGCCAGATTGGGCTACCAGCTCACTAATTTTAGCACATGTCTTGATACGAAACAGTGAACCATGGAATGCTCTTTGGCAGCTTGTAACTCTAAATATGTAGCTACATACATGAACATAATTCAGAGATACAGTAGTACAAAGATTTCACCTGAATTTTTTCAGAGCCATCTATGTTCTTGTAGTTTTCACCTGAATTCTGATACCTTTAGAATTTGGAGATTTCATCTTCACTCCCTGAAATATGTGCATCATGGCAGCAATGACTCCTGAAGCGTTAGGGCTAAATACTTGTGTTAGCCAATATTACACACATGAGGAACCCTCTGTCTTGTATGTCTACATATAAGTATAAAGCACCTTATATGCAAGCTACAAATCTGTTTGTTATATCTCTGCCCTGCATATAACATGTTGGTAATTTGGTTGTCTTCATCGATCAATTTCGTTTGTTTATAAGCTATGCTCATGGATGAATATAGGTTTTTTTATAGGATGTTGATTTGTTTCAATAAAGTCAGTCATGTAATGAGCATAGCTTATAGGAAGGTAACCTGTTGTACTCCTACATAACGATTTCGTTAAATGTTATATTGATCTGGAAATTGGCAACCACTTAAATGTTCTAGCACTCTGTACCATGATTGATATCTTGGGAGTTCCTTGAAATTATTAACACAAGCATTTAATTTTAAGTCAGTGTTATAATCTGTTTCTAAATGTGAACTATTTGGATTTATGGTGCAGTTTAGTTTGCCACTATCGATTTTGCTACAATCGATCTATGTTGTTGAGCATCTACCAAGCAGGAGATCTAAAAAAACATCGTACCACGGTTAGTATCATCCAACTTGCCATCAGTACTGTGCTTAAAGGCTGAAATGTTATATCTATGTGTTATGTTTGTCTTGTGCAAAGTCTTTTTATTATTTTTCCCATGAGCACAATGGTTTGTACGCGTGCGCAGAAAACACCACTGAAACACAGAATTATTTAGGTGGCCTGTGAAATTTGATTGTCAATATCAGCTTTATGGATAAGAGATGGATAGACCTTCCTAGGTACAATTCTACCTGATAATTTTAGGACCACAACCTATGATTGTTTGTCAAATTGACCGCACCTAGAACATTTTATCCACATGAAACCTTTTGGGAGGTTATGTTGTCGATCATGTGCTACATTGAGAAGGGCATATGGAGCTAGAACCATTAGTGGTCTGATGTGATTTCCCATCTCACACTATCCTTGTGATATTATGTTGTCTGGATAGACTGTTAACCTGGACAGTCTGAAGTGTTCTCTATTGGTGCTGCATGATCAAGTGACCTCAATAATATACATTGATTGCATATGTAGCTATTTTGTTTCTTTGATCCTGGCCAGTTTGCATGGTGTCTTGTCAGTTTGTGATCAAGAATGTATTTATATTCTGATAGATAGTTCTTTATATTCTACATGCAATATTGCTCACAGATTTCAAACTATTATTTTTAGGTCAAAATCGAAAGGGCTACTGAAATTGTTCTGCTAAAGATGTCACTTGTCCCAGAAATTGTCCATTGAAGATTTTTTTTGCTGAAGTTATTTATGAATGGAGACCTGCTAAAGATGTCACGTGTCCAATAAAGACCTGCTTAAGATGTCACTTGTCCAATGAAGTTCTCTCTGTATTTATATTATCTAGAAGAGATGCCACTTCAATGTAGAGTAATTCCATAAACTTTGTTGAGAAGTTATGACTTAAATTTAATGAATGCTAAGGGTGTGTTTGCAACCCCTTTTTCCCAACCCATCTCCCTCGTTTTCCGCGCGCACGCTTTTCAAACTGCTAAACGGTGCGTTGTTTGTAAAAAGTTTCTATACGAAAGTTGCTTAAAAAAATCAAATTAATCCATTTTTGAAAAAAAATTAGCAAATACTTAATTAATCACGTGCTAATGGATCGCCCCGTTTTCCGTGTTTACTGTGCACGCTGGGAACCCAGAGTAGCGAACACACCCTAAGAGTTGTCTGTACTCTTGTATGCATATGCTCTATGCAGATGCATGTATATATTGCTATCCTAGATGCAACAGAATTGTTACTTATGAATTTGTTATTTCTGAAGTTCTGATTTGGAATTCTATGGTGGAATGTTTTATACAGTGTTGATGGATGTATGTTTAATCTGAACTATTGAATGCATGGTGAATTAATGTCTGCAATCTGAATTTTTATCTATTTTACAAATCGTACAATTGATTTGGTGCATGCATGCCTTGTGAAAAAATCATGCCAGCAAACACATATAACTGCCAGGGATAGTTGACTGATGTGCTGAGGATGTTTCAAACATTTAGGGCATTTAATTGCCGGTAATCTGAACATCTGCCAAGGAAACCGAATTGCAACTACGGCAGTTAACTGCCGGGAACTTGTTATCTGCTGGCTAAGAGCATTCCCTATAGGACTTTGTAGGGCAGTTAGTGCCAAGAAAGCCTTTTACCGGCAGATGAATTGCCATACAAACTATTTTTAAGGGCAGCTGTATTGCTATAAACACTAGGCCATGGTGTAGTGACACCCAAAAGTTTCTTCTTATAGAATTTTCTCTTAAAATATTTATCAGATCCACAATCTGATTACACCATTGCGTTCATTGTAATTAAACCTTTATAACAAGATCTTACATGATTATATTATGATAAAAAATATTTATGTTTGTAAATAACTTTTATTATATATGTAAGTTACTTTTATCATATATATAAATTACTTTTATATTTGATTAAATTACTTCTTATACATTCATAATGCTTTGAGTTGATCACTTTTATTATTGTTTTTAGTCAATTCCATAATTGGTGATGATTAAATTTAATTTCTAGATAGACTCATATTATTATCCCTACAACGGGTTTACATTAAAAATATTGTAACAACCTACTTCCATTTTGTATAAAGTTACTTTTATGATTTTTGTAAATTACTTTCAGACTTTATTGAATTTACTCTCATAAATGTATTTACTTGCAAATCTTCTCTACACTTTGCTTGTGAATTTATTTCATATAGTTTCTTATTTCAACTCAGTCATAATATAATTACTCCTAATGTTATACTCCCTCCATTCCAGAATATAATCATTTTTAGAGTTGGACACGGTTATTAAAAAAGTAGGTAGAAGTGAATGGTGGAGAGTTGTGATTGGTTGAGTAGTGGAGGTAGGTGAGAAAAGTGAATCGTGGAGGATTGTGATTGGTTGGGAAAAGAATGTTGGTGGAGAAGGTATTGTATTTTGGGACAAATCTTAAGGGGTAAAAGTTGTTATATTTTAGGACGGAGGGTGTAGATAGTTACTTCTACAATTTAAATAAATTACCTTTAAAAGTAATGAAATGTTTGAATATATTCAATATGGATCTCGTTTTGTCTTATATTTTGAGTAGAGTACAATGATGCAAATAGATCTTAAAAAAATATGTGATTTAAAAGATACACGTCATTAAAGAGGTTAAAAAAGACAAACACCATATGCTAAATGAGGATTTATATATGGGATGAAGTGGTCTCCGGTTAGGACTAACGCACTACCGTACACTACCTAGATGTATATATGAATGTGTTTGATGCTCATATGAGGTTAGGATGCACCCATTCTTGTGGATGTAAGGTGTTCGTGTGTGGGTACTTGTGTTTCTCTAACTTCTGTACTCAAAAGAGGTATGAGTATTAATTATTTGATACGTGTAGTTAATGAAGGATGGTATAAGAGCAGGTACAATAGCAGGCTATAAGCTAGCTATAAACATATTTTAAAAAGATAAAAGAAGAGAGAGAAAAGCAGCAGGCTATAGATCTTAGCCAGCTACAGCACGGAATCTAAGACGTAATGTGTGTATGACTGGTAAGACCAGGTATTAATAGTGTAGTAAGCAACTATTATATGAATTGACTATTATATTAGCTATAGATTATTTGGAGCTAGTAGTTGGCTATACTATTAAACTTGCTCTAATATTTTATTTTCTATAGTCAACATAACATAACTTTCACCATCGAATTTTCTTGCACAAATCTGGACAAGTTAGGTACTATGAAAGAATTTCCATGATAAATTTGGTTATATCATTTTCATATGCCCAGATAGGAACCATACTAGTCAAAATTCTAAGAAGACATTGTTTGGTGAGTACATAATTAGCACCACATACCTTCCTAATAAAAAATGTTTCCCCACTTCTCCAACTTGTATGACGTGAAAAACGCATGTTAAACTACATAAATGCTCCATATATAGTTTTTCTTTTTTTAATATCTCACCATGTAGAATCCATACCCGATTATGTTAATCTTTTTTTCTTTTTTGGTAACTGATTCTGTTGATCTCAACCTTATAATAAAAACGTTCATAGATTGCATGTAGTAAAAATTTGTTTTGTGTATGTAAAATCTCTTTAATGATCAAACAAGTGCAAACGAGAGAGAGAGCAGCAGCAGCTAATTCTTTTTCATTTCTTTTGGAAATCAGATTATTCGTTAACCCGGCTTTCTAACCCGACTTGTATCACCAATGCACTATTTCTTCTATATCTACATCTATACTATTATAAAAATTAAAGATGTTTTTGCCAGTACTTTGGTACGTCATCTGTGTATGAGTCGGTTTTCAAGTTTGTTCACTTTTAGAAATACATATCCGTATTTGAGTCGTTTATTAAGTTTGTTTGCTTTTGGAAATACATAAGAGTTGATCTATAAAAAATCTCTTAAAAAAACTCGCATGCTAACTTGAGACGATCGGACTCTAATTACAACTCATGATTTTAAGCGAATTCCCACAATGAAGTTCACTTAATTAAACTGTATAACAATAATAAAATAAAAATAACCTTCATCCGTCGCAATGCACGGGCATTTTTTCTAGTCTAATCATATATATATATAAGCCAGCAGGATATAAATTTGTAAAAAGTTTTGCTAATTTACAGTACCTGCTGTGAGGTGGTTTCCAGCAGCAAGTAGTCTTGTGGAATGAGAGAGACAAGCCTTGAGCACAGATCTTCCATCTCGCCCCGCTCCTTCATCGTCGACGTCTCTTCATCCTTCATGTCTAATGTTCTCCCTCCATCACCACCTCTCCTCTTCATACCCTCTCTCTCTCTCTCTCTCATACACAACATACTCTTTCTTCTTTATAGAGAGCCCAGAGGCCACAGCTAGCTGGCCGGCCAGTAGTGTCTAGCTTATTATGAATGGGTTAAGATGAGTGTGAGCTGTGGTCACTGGGGTATTTCGTTGGGATGTGGATGTTGTGTGTGGCTCTATACAAGTGATGGTGAGAGGGCAGGAAACGCACAACATATCCTCATCTGTTACTGTTGGTCCCATGCATGTATCCTTGTTCCCAACCTAAAATACATGCGTCATGTTGCCAATTGGCCATCGTACTATTCGTCCTCTCCCCCTTTTAGCAATCCAGTGATTCCTACTTATAGAAAATATTGATCGTTGCCTGGAAGCTGGTGTTGACTCGTTATCCTTATGGCCTTGTTTGGTTTAGCGGGGACTAAGGAGAAATGAGGGATGATAAAATCTACTCAATGCCACTGAGTTTGTCAATGTTCAACGGTTTACCACTGACATTGTCTCTTTCTCTAATATAGCGGTGACTTTATATATTGTTCGACGATATGCCATTGGATTGGACTTTTTTCAAAAAAAAATGCCCAAAATACCCTATATACATATAATGTTAACAATTAATTTATCTTATTAGAAGTTTCGAAAAAATATGAAAATTTTTATATGGCCTCCTTACACAACATGGAAACATGGAAACTTCTATATAAGTTTCAAGTTTTTTTTAGTATATTTAACTTTTATAAAATAAAAAATTTGTGGTCTATGAGAGACAATTTGCTTACACAAAAGATAATAGTAAAAAATATCTTCTGCAGTGTATGAAAGATGATTTATATTAAAAACACCAACAAAAAGTATTTTGTATAGCATATAACAGATAAGTTATATTTTACAAAAAAAATAGAAATGCAAAGAACTAGAAACTTAAATACAAACTTCCATGTTAGGTAAGGAGGCCACATGAAAATTTTCATATCTTTTGTGAAACTTCTAATGTGATAAATCAATTGTTAATCTTGTGTGTCCAAAAAAGGGTATTTTGGGTATTTTTAAAAAAAGAATGCTCGGTCCAATGGCGTATTGTAAAACAATTGATAAAGTTACCGGTATATCATAGAAAGAGACAATGTCAGTAGCAAATTATTGAACTCGGAGAAACTCAGTGGTATAAATAGATTCTCTAAAAAAATTACAAGTCAATCTTGGGATGTTATGCAACTCACAAGTTCATGGGCCGGTTTACACTTATTAGCCAAGTTATTGTACCAAAATGATCGGTTTGAAAGTTGTTATACTTATTTGGACCTACTACACAAGTCCATATATTGTGAGTTTAATCTACTCATTCACAAAAATTGTTACTTTTCTCTTGACAAAACAAAAACTGTTACTTTGGACGTACACGCTGTTAGTACAATTTTTTTAAAGCATTTCAACACATCATTTTATTATATTATTGCTTATATGTTTTAAAAATATATTGCAATGGAGAGAGAGTGGTCAATTATATTTTGGAGATCATTCGCGGGTACACACTAACATGTTCTTTTGACTAGAGGGAATAACAATAAATTAATTAGAGACACCATATTTGCAACAAACTGATGAGGAGTTACTATGTTGTGTCTGTTTTTTAAGTTGATGTCAAATGAAATCTTACAATTTTATAGTAATTACACAGGTGAAAATTAAGGTTCAAATTTATATTGCCCCACTATCATGAATCTCCTAATATTATCAAAGAGCAGAAATACTATCTTTTGCAAAATAGATTAGATTAAAACAAAATAAGTTTGCCAAGGGCCAAAATACCTACAAGTTTTAGTGCAAAACGAGATCTATCATAACCCACCTCAAATACTAAATAGATCTCAGAATGTCTTATCCCTTTTTCTTTTAAAGAAAAACAGGCCTAAGGCTAAAGGCCTCAGAATATTATTATTTATTAAAGCTAGTTGGGTACATAGCTAGATTTGTAAAGAAGCTCCGAAAAACCAATCAAATTTGATATTGAACAACAAACATAAAAAGAAGGGCTCCAAAATTCTAAAAAAGCAATTATCTCTATTTATTCCTATGCTCCGACCAGATCGATGATGATGGCGATGACAATACCAGAGAAACCAAGACCAACAGCAAAAAAAAAAAAGGCCTAGTTGCAAACCCTTTTGAGACCTCATGGATTTGGAGGCTGTGGCATTTTTTGCATAATCTTCAATCTTCACTTGCCTGTTGGAAGTCCATCATTGGAATTTGGAGGTAAGGAAGAAGGCTGATCACTGGAAGGTAGGAGGCTAGTAGTACCTTGTTGATGAATAGAGAGATGGAGGACTGGACAACACCTCCATCTCCTGCAACTCTGCCATGCACCTAGAAGCTGGAGTCTACGCAGAGCGCATTGTCTCAGAGACCACAAGAAACTCAGCGAGGGTATCCATGGCTGGCAGGCCGGGCAAAACGCAGACCACTGGAAGCCTGACGACTACAACTAACAGGACAAGCCCAACTCTAGGAAACAACTCGACTACGTTCGGGAGGCAAGGTTGCCTCCTGACCACGAAAAACAAAGCACATGATTATAATGAAATTAATTAAGTATTAGCCTAAAAAAATTGAAAAATGGATTAATATAATTTTTTAAAGCAACATTCATATAAAAAAACTTTACAAAATAGTACACCGTTTAGCAGTTTGAAGAGCACGCGCGCAAAAAATGATAAAAGTGAGTTAGGAAAGAGGGGAAAAGAATACAACCTAAGGCCATTCACACTACATCTATATGGTATTTGGCCTCGACTCTCCAGCTAGGCAGATTGCATGCGTGGAGGAGATAAGGCAGTGGGGCCGATGTCTTCACCAGGTTCGCACAGCCTTGTTGGCTCCGAGAACCTCATCAGAAAAAACAGTTTTTTCACAAAGAATAGCATCCACACCCATGACAAGAAAGCAGGAGAGAGAGAAGGGGGAGAAGCTCGCCAAAGAAGCCGCATCTGCGCCGAGTCCGAGCTCCCGCGCCGACGGGGAGAGAGGAGGGCGTCGCCAACGGGGAGAGAGGAGGGTGCCACCGCGGCCCCCGCCTTCACAACGGGCTACGCTCGCTGCCGGCCGCCGCGCCCCTCGATCTGCACCCGCCGGAACTCGCCAGCCACGCCGCCCCCCGATCCGGAAGAGGAGGAGGTGAGGCACTCGAGCCGTCCCGCTGCCCAGCGCTGTCAAGTTCCCGCCGTCCCCTACTACTGCGCCACCGAGCTCCCGTGTCCCCCGCTACTGCGCCGCCGACTTCGCCGCTGTTGCACCGGCGAGCACCAGGCCCCGCCGCTGCTCCGCCCGGCTGCCCCGGCGCTGTCTCCGCTCGGGCTGCCGCTCCACCCGGCAGCTGCTTTGCCCGACCGCCCCGCCGTCGTCTCCACTCGGGCTGCTGCTCCACTCGGCCACCCCGTCATGGTGGAAGGAGAAGAGGAGAGCGGCGTCCGAGCGTGAGAGGAGAGAGAGGGGGAGAAGGAAGCGTGGGTCTCGAGGAAAGAGAGAGAGGTGGAAAAGTGGAGAAAAAAAGGAAAAAAAATTTTTTTGGACCCCACGTGAGGTTGATGCATGGTGAGCCTTGTGTCTATCACCGTTCCTAGCCCATCTGGCATCTAAGCTCCGGCAAATACTTGTGACGCATTGCTATCGCCCTAACTATCTACTCCCAAAAAAAGTCCAATTCTAGAGATGAATCAATTGGACTTTTTTTTGGTGGGGGGGGGGGGGGGGGGGAGACGAAGGGAGTACGCAGAGTGCCAACTCCTGAGTAGGCCTGCCACGGTGGAGGATAATAGGTAACTCATATCTATATCAAATTTTACCCATCACAATCTAAAAAAAATTACACATACCCAAATAAAATAAAGTGGGTATTACCCAATGGGTAAGAGAAAATATATATGTGGGTTCCATATATAGAAATGGACCAAATTTATAAAATGTTACTCTTTCATATAGTAAATCATCCTTTCAAATTTTAATCAAATTTGATAAGATTTTGTAATGTGAACGTGAGTTTAAAAATTTTAGGTCCGAGTTTTACCCATAACAAATGGGTATGGACAAAGTGGGTAAAATGGATAATACCCTCCTCATATCCAAAATTTAAATGGGTAAACTTTGTTTTATCCATACCTTATCTAAATAATGTGGGTATGGATATGGGAATGGGTAATGATTACCCAGTGGCAGGCCTACTCCCGAGTGGAAACATTTTCTTCTTTTTCACCTGAGCAGTTGAGCTGCTAGTTAGAAGTTGTGCTTACTCTCTCTACGGTGTTACCTTCTTGTTCTTATTCTTAGTAATAAATGACAGTTTTTTTTATGTTACTTGCAAGGCATCAAGATACATACAGGATATCAACTACCATTGTTAATCTTTTTCTTACATATGAACTAGTGCTATGCCCGTGCATTGTAACGGATCTGAAAGAATACAAAATAATGGTTTTATAGGTTTTAGTTGTTTTTATTTGCTTTCATAGGTTGGTTAATCTTGAGAGAGGGTGGTAGGGTGGGAGGTGGGGGCGGTTCGGGTTCTCACGAAGGTTTTTTGTGCTGTTCGTGATAGGGGGGAAAGAGGAAGACAATTGCCTCTAGCGATATTTTTATCTTCTATATAATTAAAACGCAGTAGCTCTAAGACTTAACATGCAAACATGACACATCATGACTCGCTAAAAATTCGCAATTCGCTATGCTGGTTCAGGTCATCAATGATATATGGACACAAATCGACACCTCTAACCGATAGGGTGCTAGTTAGAGATGAGTGTTTAGTGATGACTAAACTCATCTCTAACAGGTGAAGACTCATCACTAGTATAGGACACCTCTGGCGGGTTGCAAATTGTTACTCGTCAGAGGTGATGTTGACCCCATTGACTGGTGGCATTGCAACCCATCATAGGTGTCTCACCTGTAACGGGTAGCACAATGCGACCCATCAATGCCGTAGATTACCAATGAAAAAAAAACAAAATATATTTCATTCTATTGCTCGTTGCAATTGCATTCATCTTACAAATTCACAAACCATAAAAATCATCAAAATCACACATCTGGGCACATCCAAACACACATCTGGGCATCACGAAATCAACGAGAGTAGAATTCGGGGCAAAGGATCGACACCTGCCAGAGGAGGGAGTCAACGTAGATGCTGCTGAGGCGGTCGTCGGCGGTTGGTAGTCTGCGGTAGAGGTGGAGGATGACGAGGAAGTGGAGTCATGGTAGAGGGGGTGGCTAGGGGCTGGAGGAGGCGGTGTTCGGAGCATGGGAGCGCCCCGGAGTTCGGGCGGCGGAGAGGCAGCCACCAGTGACCTTGGGCGGATGGCGAAGAAGGCTGAAGCATGGGAGTGAACGAGATGAGCAGATTGGGGCTCGGTGGCCATCCAGATCTAATGGTCCTCAACCACCTAGAGACTAGATCTGGCACCCCGGAGCTCGAGGCGGCAACCGGCGACCTTGGGCACTAGGCGAAGGAGGCCATAGCGGCTAGAGCTTGGGGGCAAAGATGCGGCCGACGATGCTCAGGGGCGGATAAGACAAGCAGACGACAGCGGCGGGCGATAGAGCCGGCTGTCGGATCCGCATACCCCAACCTCGTGGAGGCCGGATCCGGTGGGCGGCAATCGTTGGAAGGAGGCTGCGAAGGCCAGTGGTTCGGTGGGAGGGGCAGCAGTCAGCGATTGAAGGAGGGCTTGGGGAAGACGGCTTCAGGCGGTCGATGATGGTGGCAAGCGGTCGGAGGGGAAGAGACGGAGAAAGATGAGGAGGAAGAGAGAAGAGAGATCGAAGAAGAGGAGGAGATGGGGAGGGAGTCGGTACGGAGGTGGGGAGGAGAAGGGACGGGCGAACTGGTGGGCTCGGGGGTTTTCCCTTTTTTAAGTCATCACTGACGGTATAAGAATTGCACACGTTTGAGACGAGGTAGCTCACCTGTGACGGGTGCAAACTCAACACCCGTCACATGTAAGAGGTTATTTGTGACAGGTATACGTGAGCTCATCAGAGATGTTATGTGTCGGGTCCTTATATAGATCCATCACAAATGAGTTCTTGGCTGTAACAGGTTATTCTCTTGAGCCTCATCTACAACAGGATTTAGTTTAACCCGTCAGAGATGATATCATCCGTGACGAGACATTTTGGTTCATCACAGGTTGGCCGACACAGATGTGCTGATCTGACGTGGTGATAATTACATTTAAAGCTAACTCAAGCATTCCACATTATCTACAGCTTATGAAATTCCACAGTACAACCTGCAAGCATGTCAAATCATCGTCACCCACATAATTTTCAAAATATATTCATCCATCATTTCTAAAATATTTAACATATATTCAAACATGTATATTTCGCGTGGAGCATCGATCATCTAGTAATATATGAGAGTACAACATAGTAATTACACACTTATTTAATTACAACCCACTAACTACACTTAATGCTATAAAGCAGACATCACAAAAGGCCACATCATCTAAAAAAAGATTATGATCCCATCGGATTAAGACTGAACATCTAGAATTTCCTTCAGCTTGCCTTTTGCAGACAAACATGTTCTAACGTTCCTCCTACCTAGGGGTGAAAATAGTACGGAAACTTTCCGGATTCTAAAGTTATTTTTAAAAACGGAATCTATCGGTTGGAATTTTTTAGAAACAAAAATGAATTCGGAAATATTTTCTCAGAAATGGAATCAAATATGATAAGGGTAGTTTCCGTCGAAACTCGGAATTGGTCGGAAATTTTCTGGAAATTTTCTCAGAATTTCTAGGCCCATAGCACAACCCATACAACACAATAATAGCCCTAAATTCCTAATTCCTAAATCCCCAAATAGGCTAACCCTAGCAGTGAGAGAGAGATTCAGAGAGACAGATCCATTCCAGATGAGGAGAAGGGCGGTGGAGCAGTCTCATGCTACTGCGCCCCCTCACCATCGCACGCCGCCGCACCCCCTCGCTGTCTCGAGCCGGCTCCTCCCCACGCCATCTTGCATCGTCGTCTTGCACCGCACCTGCCCATTGCCGTTTTGTGCCACTTCCACCCCTCGCCCTCTTGGGCCGCCGCCATAACTGTCACCTCTCGCCCAATGCCAACGCCTCAAGCCCTAGCACCGACACCATCGACGCCAACCGATGCTAACCTGACTCTGCCCCCACCTCCACCTCTATTGTGTAGTCTCTGTATAGATTTGTTTTGGTGAATGTTGAATGATTTGGTTTCTATAGTTATGTTGTGGAGCCCCGAGTTGATTTTCTTTCTTTTATGCTGTAGATTTGTGATGGATATATCATATGCAAGTAGCAACCGTGCAAGTGTATGCAGTGCGAGTGTTGCAGCTTTGTGAGCATCAGAACCAACTCTTGCAAATGAAGGAGATCATGCTGCAAATGTTGTTGTAGTAGCAAGAGTTAAAGTTGATTTGACACAGGAAACTACAGATCCAAATGTCCCTCTTGCAAAGAAGGCAAAGAAGTGCAGTTCTGAAGTTTGGAGCCACTTGACATGTATGAGAAAAAGACAGTAGGATATGATGGAACAGAGATCGTAGAGCTTTGGGAAAAGGGTAAGAAGTACAGCTATACATCTCGTTGTGAGAGCAACAGTGCACAACAATATTTTGGAGTCACTTAGACAACAAGCACCAAATAAAAAGTGGCCAACAGCTTCAAGATCTCAAGAAGAGTGAAAGCGGCACTTCTGTTGGGATCTACAGGTATGATGAGGGAGTTAGCTTGAAGAAATATTACTTGATCATTATATATGAATATCCCTTTAATATTGTTGAGCATGAGTACTTTGTGGATCTTATTAAGTCATTGTGCCCTACTTTTGCAATGAAAAGTTGCATAACTGTTAGGAAAGACATATTTTTTGAAAGGGGTTAAGAAAGATAATGTATGAGTACTTCAAAACTCTTTCATGCCGCTTTTGTACAACTATGGACATGTGGGCTTCAAATCAAAATAAAGGTTAAATGTGCATCATTGTGAATTGGATAGATGATAATTGGTGCATGCAAAAGAGAATTATAATGTTCATGCATGTAGAGGGTCATCACACAGGGAACTTGAGCAAAGAATTCTATGATAGTGTACGGGATTGGAACCTTGCTAGGAAATTGCTTGCACTTACTTTGGACAATGCATCAGCCAATAATGTATGTGCTAAGGGGTTAGTACAAAAGCTCAACAAGATACAACCCTTGATCTGTGATGAGGCCATTTTCCATGTGAGATGTTTGAATCATATTTTCAATCTTGTTGCTCAAGATGATTTGAAGCAAATTTCAATTAATATTTCAAGTAGGACGACCAACCGAGAGGAGAATCCACATCCTGACCTGTAAGATGTAACTTGTTAGCATTTATAACTTATGACCAAAAAATGAATCACAACATTAAATATTGTCACTGTTGGTATTTCTTAACCTCACAGATAAAATTCGCAAGCGCACGGAGAATACCGATGTAGCACTTTACCCGGAAGTATTCCAAGGTATCGATTTCCATAGGGAACGTGTGTGCTCAACTCCTCGTCGTGTTCATCCAAGGACACAAAGCAAAGGTAGGCAAAGGGTAGAGAGGATTTACTAGTGAGAAACAGTGTACGAAAAGCTCAGTTTA